CTAAAACTACAATTTGAGCTAGATGCCTGTACAACAATAATTTACCTCTTTCACATTACATGCACCCATAAATATTACATATCATTTTGTTCAGGGGAAACCGGGCTTTTTTTCCCCCCCACATGAAATATTTAGATATGGAACACAATTTAAATATCAATTTAACATGGTATAGTTTGCAAAAGTAGACAACCCAAGGTATTAAAAATGGGGTATGTCCAGTCTTTTTTTCAGTAGCCACTTAGTCACAAACCCTGGTCAAAGTTAGTGTTCATATTTGATTTTTGTTTTTGTTTTTTTTGCATTTTTCACACACAAACTGCACTTTCACTGATGTTATCTTCCTTATATGTTTTACTGTTTTGAAACACTCATATTTGTATTCTGTGATGGTCTATGAGTACAAATATAAAAATTACAGGTTTTATGGTGTTTTGGAAAGATACCGGGTCTTGCCCATTTCATTTTGCCAGATTGGTTTGCCTATATTGCCTTTGAAACCATATAGCAGCCCATAAAGTGATTTAAACTGCCTATCCGGTCATGCCCGGAAGGGCCAGAATAGCTGCAACAGGCAGTCCACCTAATATGGCTCGCCGCTCGAGGTAAGTATGCCAACAGTTAGCCCTGCTTTTGCAGCACAGTGTAGTATGCTGTAAAATCATTATGGGGTTAAAAACAATTAATTATGGTGCAAGATTTATGTGGAACATAATTAGAATTCCTAAAGCCAACTGTCAAATCAAGTACTGAGATACTTATCATCATCATGGACAATTTTAGAATGAATAAATTAAATAAATAAAAACAATTGAGGCACTGTGCACACTATATATTATTAGAAATTAAGATTTACTATAAGAATATCACTCACAAGATAAGAGTGAATGTAGTTCCATTCATTACTGTATTGCCCAGGGATGGTCAGCCCCTTGTGTGGGATGGATCACCAATCCCAATAATCCTTTCCAAGTATGAGTCACCACCAAACCAAAATCTTTTAATGGACAAACAAATGTAAAATCAGCAATACCAAGGGTATCGCCGGACACTCTAAATGACTTTGAATCCTGAAAGGGAAATTTAAAAGTCCCTGGATGTAGTGTCCTTATTAACCAGCATTGAGCTCCACTTCCTGCTTGCCTCCTCGTTTCACCCCATCCCTCAAGGCTTTGTCAAGCATATCCGACATCTTCTTAAATGCATCCCATATATACCTGTGAACCACTCTGCACCACAGTCCCATTGACTATTCTTTAAACAATGAATATGCTCATTAATGCAAGTATCAAGTACATTTGCAAAACTAACTCAAACAGTATTGCAATTGTAACATAAAATTATGAAACATTTAAAAAATATCCATTGACAAGTGAAGAAGGCTGCACTACATTAAATGGTAATGCATTTTCAGAGAAAAGGCAATGTTTACATTGCCCCTAGGGAACCCTCCAAGTGGACACTCCTCGGATGGCAACTGGAGGTGCTTCCTGGCTCAGTGCTGCACAGTAGGCAGCAATGCCGTTCAGCATCCCCACACTCTGCATGGGGACGCTGAATTTTCCTCATAAAGATGCGTACATTTTTATTTCTTATGCTAGCCCCTGTTTATATTAAATATAATTTTGCCATAGGCAGCTTGAAATTGAAGGCACAAATGTAACATTATTTAAAATATATCAAGAGCTGCAGGTCACCTATAATGGATATGTCTGTCTCCCTTGGTATCTATCTGGTTTATTGTACTATATATTATCTAATTTGGCAGTGCATTCAGGATTGCCACCATGTAACTGCCTGGCACTGCTTCAGAAACACTGCTTGCTTTGTAGTGCTAGACCAAACAGCAGCTTTGCTGCCTATGTCGAAATTATGTTCTGAAACCTTTTAGTTGTTAACAGCTACAAGGAAAACTGTGTAATTGGTTTAGCATGGATTTTTATCCCATAGTAATGGTCAGTTTATTAAACTGCTAATTTAATGTTCTTAAAATGTCTTTCCAGCTGTGTATAGTTTTGAAAATTAATATTTTAAGCAGCACTGTGCAATTTAACACTTAAGCATTTCCAGTGCATAGCTTGGAACTAATAAAATGTGTCAATATGTGTTTCTTTCTTATTCACTTTGCAGGAAGAGTGCTTCTTGAACCTTGAAGCTCCAATAGCTCGAGTATGTGGCTATGACACTCCATTTCCCCACATGTTTGAACCTTTCTATATTCCTGATAAATGGAAATGCTTCGATGCTCTAAAAAAAATGATGAACTACTGACAGCAAATTATTTTTAATGTAAGTATATTTTCTTTGGTTTTCTTTGTTTATTCCTATTTTAAGAAATTCTGTAAAAAAAATATATTTCACACGTTTAATAAATATAATAGTTGATTTACTAATGATAAACTGTATATGTGTACATTTGTCCCTTACTAATGTGACTACTGATTTACTTTTCACTAAATCTAAAGTTCATTACTCTCTCATATTTATCCTCTACAAGTCTATTGCTCTGAACACTGACAACTCACATCTTAAACCCTCCACAACCTTGAAACCCATGTGCTCTGTGCAAAAAAGGTGCTTTTTATTTAGTTATATTACAAACTGGCAGCTACCACACACAATGTAGGTCTCTCCCTGACTACACTTAAAGCAAATAGACATGAAAAGGTGAACTGAGTGTTTTAAACTACCACCAGTGCAAATACTCGAGCACTTAACCTTATAACTTAAGGGATAATTATACAGAAGTTGCTAAACAGAAAAGAAAACATAGTGTAGTATATTAAGTGCTTGCGTGTATGTATTAATATATACCATACACTCACATAGATTAGAGCCAGATAAAGACAGACTCAAATCTCACACAACCTTGCCTCCAATGACTTTGTACTTTCATGGTTTTCATCCTATCTTTCAACATTGAATAGATGGAAAAAACTGTCTTTATTACAACATCTGAAAGTCTGCTGTCCGAGAGTACAACTTAAAGGAACACTATAGGGTCAGGAACACAAACATGTATTCCTGATCTATAGTGTTAGAAACACTCTCTAGCCCTCCTGCCCCTCTAAACACAGTAAAATCCTACCTTTATTCCAGTCTGTTGCTGGCACTTCCCCTGATCTGCCTGCTTTGCTGACATTATCAGACGTGGTGTTCTGAACCAATCACAATGCTTTCATGTAGGAAAGCACTGGATTGGCTGAGCTTGTCACAGAGATCATGGCAGAGCCAGTACAAGCCAAATACAACCCTGACCAATTAGCATCCCCTCATAGAAATGCATTATGAGGAAAGTTTAGTGTTTCCATGCAGAGTGTGGAGACACTGAATGGCAAACTGTGCAGCACTGCCCCCGGAAGCGCCACTAGTAGCCATCTGAAGAGTTGCCAGTGGAGGGATCCCTAGGCTGTAATGTAAACATTGCATTTTCTCTGAAAAGACCATGTTTACTGCAAAAAGCCTGAAGGGATTGATTCTACTCACCAGAACATACACAGTAAACCATAGTTGTTCTGGTGAGTATAGTGTCCCTTTAAACATATCATGGCCTGTGCAATATTTATGTAGCTGTATGTTGCCCTAAGATGGATCGGACTATCAAATAATGTAAAGATACATAACTCTGAACATATATTAGCATGTATAACGTCACCTTAAGTCTCACAAGTTGTGATGTCTTCAGAACGTCCTTAGCAACAATCTTTTCCCATAATACTCAATTTACATATGTTTCCATATATGTGGCCCCCTTTTTTCCCCATTAAAAGGTAATAAAACTTACCTTTATTCCAGCACCACCGCTGTCTCCACCCCCACTCCTCCCCTTCACCTCCTTGGCTGAAATCATCAAAATAAACCATACCAGCAAATTCAACGCTTTCCCATAGGAAAATTGGGAGGCTATTGTGCCTGCGCAGCAGTGCGCCAATCCGTATCTTCTCAAAGAACTGCATTGAACCAATGTCTCTCTATGAGGAACATTCAGCCCATCCAATGCAGTGCGTGGAGACGCTGAATGTCACTACTGCACATTGTGCAGCACTGACCCAGGAAGCACTTCTAGTGACCAGCTGAAAAGGCAGGGTTTACATTAAAAAGCATGCAGGGACATACTATAAACACTGGGAACAACTACATTAAGCTGTAGTTGTTCTGGTGACTTTAGTGTCCATTTGAGCAAAATTTGTCTTAGTCCTTATAGTTCCCTATTATGGTACACTTCTAGTGACAGTAAATGCTCAAACATTTTGTTTGACAAAGGTTTTATTTTCAACTAATATGACAAATGAGAATGTCTAGGGCCACTAAATAAACTATTTCCTTTTAATGGAACTTAAGAACGAAACCTTTTACTTTGACTAAATGCTTTCATTTATTCTGTTTTGCTAGATCCTAGAAGCACAAAAGACCAACATTTATTAAGAGTTTTGTGGAGCTGGGAGTGACTCATCTAAAACATACTTTTTGGAGAATGCTGTGGAGTATAGAAATGCCAGAATCCTGAACCCACAGACGTTTGACTTCAGGACAAAACAAGTTACAAGAAAAAAGTGAACCTAAATCTTTATTTGGGGAGTTTGTTCCATAAAATGGTTTCCATTTTTAAGGATGATGCCTAATAACATAATAAATCTGATTAGATCTTCTTTTTTGTGTGTAGTTATTTAAATATTTGCATTGTTTTTCCTAAAGAAAATTTCTTACAATCAAACAAATCTATAGAGCTGGTTTAGTTACTTTATGCTTGTTTACAGAAAATACCATTACTTTCCACCCATAGAAATACCTAACTTTTTGTTTTAGGTTAGTTTTATGTCACATGGGATACATTAATGCATTATTTTCTTGGTTTCTTTATATTTTACTACATTTATTGAATTTAAGTACTTTGGGTCACTTAGACCCAACTGAATAGATTAAAATCTACATAGAATATTCTATATTAATATATAATAATATAAATCAATTACAAAAATCTTCTTTCCTACTGCTTATAACCTGGAATTGCTGTCCTTTATTCTAGCTTCATGTATGCTGAATCACTCTGGAGACTACTTTAAAGAAACATTCTAGGCACAGTTACTGCCTCATCTTATCGAAGTGGTTATAGTGCTTGGAGTCCACTGATGCAGGCCTTCAATTCAATGTTAAATTGTTTTTGAACGATTTAATGCTAACGGAGAGCCCGAGGTAGTTCGACCCCTTTGTGCTGCTAGGGGAATGAAGAAGCATTAGTCCGAGCAGCAAGTGAAAGCAGTGATTGGTCAGGAATAAAGAACAGTGTTATATAGGCATATCTCAAGTCGGGGTTGGTCTGTGGACAGCCAGGGACACAGAGTTCAAAATGAAACTATTCAAAAATGGTTTCACACGGATTGGTGGTATGGTGCCAAGGGACATCTGTCACTGTTACCAATTTTTATGAGAAGTAATGGTTAGAGTACCTGGAATATTCCTTTAGGATGTTATCTGGGTATCTGAATCTTGAACCGTTGCTTTGGAACACAAAACTCCAACCTTGGAACATATAAGGCAATGCCAAATAAGACTTACCTTTATTATTAGTAATTATATCAAGAGAATTAAACAATGCTGAGTTAAAAAAAAAAAAAAAAAATCATAAAAGCAGAATACATTGCATCCTCCCTCTCGTGATTTCTCTACATGCATTCATGTGCTAGCCACATTTTGCTTTCTCCTGATAAATTGCCAAGATAAATCCATCTTTCTTTCAAATGCCAGAAGTTTTATGCATGCCCTTATTCAGTTCTAATTGGCTTATTCTAATAAATCAAACAGCTGGTATCCCTGACTTTCAACTTATCCGTTCGAATATAACTTTATTTCTTGGGCCATAATAGTTTCCAGTTCATTAAAAGAAGCATTTCTCTCTCCCCTCTTACTTAACTAAAAGCAAGCCACAAAATAAAGCAGTATAATAAATTACTTGCTGTACAATGTTTCACACTTTTATTTTTTTTCTTCGCACTCATTCCTGACTGTTTTTGAAAGGTTCCCCTTACTCTGCTTTTATTATAGTTATCTCCTTTATGATTAGTATTTAATGTAGAAAATACAGCATATTTTACAATATACATATCCATTTAACCTTTCTTTGATTTGGTTGTGGTTAAAGTCTTGTATGCCTTTTAAGACAGCTCTTATGCTTGTACCCGCAGTATTATTGTTACTTCTTGTGATAAAATGGTCTCTTTCTACCATTAATCGTTCTATGATCAATAAAATGAATATTGTTACTCAGGCACAAATTGACAGAATAAAACACAATTTTCTCTTTCATAACCGACGTTATTGATTATAATTACACTGCTACTATTTTGAAGTGTTCTATTTTTGCTAGGGACCCAGACCTCTTACCATTAAATAGGATAAGGACATTCGTTTTAAATGTAGAAAGATTTTGGGAACACCAAGCTGTGACATATATAGGGTTTACGGGAGTGTGCTATTATCAGACGAAGGGCTAGGGATATTGACTGCTTCTAATTGGTTACTGATTGCCTTCCAACTTAAAGGGACACTATAGCTCAATGAAGTGGTCTGTGTGCCAGGTCCCTCAGGTTTTAACACTTCAGATGCAAACATAGCAGTTTCAGAGAAACTGCTATGTTTACATTTGGGGTTAATCCAGCCTTTAGTGGCTGTCTTCCGGACAGCCACTAGAGGCGCATCTGCGACGCTGGAGGCATGTTATGCCTCCATTGCACAGAGCGTCCATAGGAAAGCAATGAGAAATTCTTTCCTATGGACACTTTGAATGCACGCGTGGCACTTGCCGCGCATGCACATTCGGCTCCTGTGTCGTCGGACGGGGGAGCTGATGTCGGAGTGGGAGGAAGGAGAGGTCACCAGTGCTGAGGGAGCCTAGCCCTGGATTAAGGTAAGCTGCTGAAGGGGTTTCCTGACACTATAGTGTTCCTTTAAGTGAAATAATTGGGGAATTTGGGCCTTGTTCCAAGCGTGTGTACTCAAGGATAAGTAGTATTTAACACCTGAGGTAATAGTTAATAGCAAGCCTACAGCTCTAATATACCTTTATTACTTTTTTTGCAATGTGTTAGTGTGTTGTTTGTTTTTTTTTTTGTTTTGTTTTTTTTAAGATCCATCAAAATATTTTAAAAGCAGCTTTCTTTCTCAATCCTGCAATGTTTTGTTTTTTTTTCTCAAAAGGAGGATGCATTCTGAGACCTATTTTTAAATAAAACCGGCCCGAATAGGTCTCTAAAATTCTATATAATTTGGCATAATTAAATGTAGCTATTTTATTCAACTGCAATTTACTCTCTTGCTCTGTATGCCTGCAATTTAAGTGCTTACCGTGGATTCAATGGTTTATTTAAGTGAATGCTAACCCACACATGCAGGATGTAGATTTGCAATTATGTTTCCCAAAATGAGAAAAACATTTGCGTGCAGTGAGTGCAATACATCTTTAGATTCTTTGATTATTTTATATAATTTCTTTCCCACTTACAATGGAAAAAACTGAAACAAAAACTAACTACATTTCAACTCTTAACTTACTTTGTGTATAATGCTTTGTTTTATATCCTTTTATCCATTAATTTCCTCCTTTATATACATGGTATGTTGATCAAGTGTCATTCATACACCCTCATAATCCAATCATGCCTACAGTGCTTAGATATAGTGAAAATGGTGTTCTTCCCACTGCTTTGTGTGGATCCAACAGCCAGGCTGGGATACTGGGCTTACACTGCTTGCTATGGAGATCTCGGTGCTAAAAATCAGTCCCAACACTTTGTGAAATAGCACTAGATAGAGCAATTAGAACAGATCTGTCTACTGCTTTATTCTTTGCAGATCCTTTAGAATCTTGATGGATGACTGATACCTTCTTAGAAGTTCTGCACAAGACAAGTAGGCAGAGACCAAAAAAAAAAAATCTGTGCGTTCAAAGACTATTTGGATGTTCCTCTACTTACAGCAAATACAGGCACACATGAATGTGATTGTATATTGTAAACTAAAGATAAATTGCAAGTAAAATTAGGGTGCTGAGGCAGTCCTGCACAGACAAAATAGGGATGGGTTTGGAGAGAGAGAATTAACGTGACTGTGGACAGCTTAGCAGTGTGCTGTGACGAGCATTTACGGGACATAGAAAAGACAGACAGGCACTAAAATGTGCATAGTTAGATAGAAATAAACTACAAGACAAAATCTAGGTACAAAGATAGGAACAGAGAACCCGGATAAATTAGACAGCTGGAATACAGACATAGAGGGTATACAGGATTGTTTACTAAAATGACAAAGTGAATCCAAATTTATGGTGAAAATAGACAGAGAACATTCTTAGTAAGGAATATGCTTAGTCACGACCGGTGCAAAGAACTTTGGCTGCACAGGCACGCGCCCCCCTACACACACACTGGGTCCCTAGATATTGAAAGGCATGCACCACCATGTCCCCTGCTGCTGGAAACTCCTGCAATAAACCTCTGATTAGTGCCACTGAGCTAAGCCAGCCGTGCATCACTTCACTCATTTGCTAACCGCGATCATCTGAAGCTAACCAATGAGCAAAGTCCTTCATGGCTAGACATAGTTCAATGGCAGGAGTTTCTGGTATCCGCTTCCTGAAAATGTAACTTCCTCCCTAAACAAGATCTATATCATCACATTGTAATTTACCCTCTGCTTTTTTTAAAAATTGGACTACCTTATTTATTTGCAATTAAATCATCCTATGCCAGAATCCCTTATTTCTCTGCAATGTACCCTTCCCTCCCCAGTTCATACAAGGATATATCTTACCTTACCATAGCAATTAAGTCAATTAACCGCTTCCAAATTCTATATGTGCACCCTTTTAAAATGTTTTCCCACTACCTCTGCCCTACACACTTACAGAGGAACAGTTACACAAAACCCACTCACAGATAGGGGCACACAGCGACATACATTCACAGACATATACATAACTAATGCAAGCATATTTAATTATATATTCTCACAGTCAAATACAATTACAATCAGAAATACTCTCATACACATATACACATTCACAATTATACTTACAAACTTATACATATACACCAACAGACATACTCATAGATTCACAAAATAAAACCTACTCAGATACAGACTTACAATTATGTATGCAGGGCATTCACAGTCACACATTTAAACTTTTAACACACACTGTCACTCATACACACATAACATAGGTGGTCCACCCTTACTCCATGTAGCACCTCAGTACACAATGTACTATGAACTTCTGTTGCTGACTGCTACTAATTCCTTGCTGCCATATACAATTCCTCACTGTAATCTAGAAGTATGTGTGTTGTGGCAGCATCTACCTGTAGGGAGCTGGAGCCTACTGCCATCAGAGTGGGAGCTTCTTTCCTACTCCCATGTGGTCCAAATACACGTGGAACATGTCACTATGTATGGGGAGGGCTGAGGGAAACGCTTGATAGACATACAAGGTAGTCATTTCAGAAAAATGTCCACTCTATTAAACAGAACAAAGGTTTTATAATACACACAATAAAGGGGAATCTAGATGAATATAATTCATTACTAATCAAGTACTGACAACTATAAACTAAAGTCATGAACAAGTTTGTGCTTACATACATACATATTGGTGAAAGCATATAAGCAATCATTAATATAAAACTTATCTAAGGGGGCATTGCTAGGTGGGGATAGGACGGTGTAGGGGTAGTGTCTTAAAATAAGAGAGAACAAAGATGGTCATGTGCCAAGACTATTTATGTGACGTTCTGGCATGGTTAGGTGCAAAACTACGTATGTGACGTCCTTGCAATTTACAAATTGTTAGTCTTATGATTAACCATATCAATCCCCCCTTTTATTCTGAAAGAATAACTAAACATAAGCATACTAAACATGCAATTGTTGCAGCTGGGGTCAACTCTAAATTTTTGGCTCCTGTTGCAGCAAGGACATTTTTTTATTTTTTTTCTAGAATGCCCTAAAAGCATGCAGATTTCCAAATACATATTTAAATCTGTGTAAATGTTTATCCTTTGTCTTTCTCCAAAATGTAAGCATTGTGTTAGCGCAGATAACTCTACTCTGTGTGTTAACAAGTTAGGAGATATGGTTTGTGCTTGGGATTTCATATGAAGATGCTACGGCATGTCCTTATCTCCTCTTCCTATGCATCAGATGACTTAATCCATATTTAATTCACTCAAGGAATAATGCTTATTTCCATGATTTCTTCATAGTCCTGCTATACTTCTGCTGCTTCAGTCAGACGGATTTCAGGATTCAAAATAATACGCAAAACAAAAGTGATATTAGGATTTTCAAGGAACACAGCTTCGTAAAGTGGTAATCTGTCCACTTCTTCATTTACCAGTTGACATACTGCATGTTTAACAAATACTTATAAAACTGTCCAAGTATAGCATCTCACATCTTAATGACTGTGGCTGCCAATGCTCTTTGTAGAGGTAGGCTGCTGGCCTATTTTTTTATTCACACAGAGTCTAAAGGCCATGTTGTAATATACCACAACAAGTGCTTTCTTTAGGGCAGCTTTTAACTCCTGAAAGTTTTTCTGTCTTTACTTTTCCCACTGTATAATGTCACATTTTCAAAAAGTATTTTTTTAAAAATGGCAGCCTCTCAAAATAGCTCACAGTTCTTTTGTTCTTTGCCAGCAGAATTTTATAGATTGCAAATGTTCTCCAGAAAGGATGGATGCTAAGTAATTGAAATGAAACATATCCCACAAATTCTACTTGTGGCTGGTCAATGCAGGCCCTTTCTTTTTAAAAAACGTTATATCCACACATTGGCGTAGAAGTTGCAGCAGTAAAACACATTATTCAACATTTTCCTGTCCAAAAGGGATGGTAATCAATAAATCTTCTATTACCTGGACCAGCACAGTGCTAATGGTGTGGGTACATAATGCTTTGTCCAACATAAGCCCTTGCTCAATTGTCCCACAAAAATAAATGCAGGCTCTGTGTATTCCTGATGCAG